ACAGCGCTCACGGCCATAGCAAAAAAGACCCCGTAAACATACAAAGCCAGTGCAAAAAAGAAGGACAACTGCACATTTGCTTAGAGTTTAGCTTTCGGGGCTTATGGTTTACAGAGTTTAGGACTCAGGAATTTTCAGGACATTGAGGGGCTCACAAAGGCAAAGCTACTATTTTCACCCAGAAAAGCCTACAAGACTGCCATGAAAACCCTACACTCACATAGACCCCAAAGAACGCCCATACTTCACACCCCCCNNAAAAGCAAGCCTGGAGAAGGTGGCGTCCCTAAGCCCTAAACCCTGAACCTTAAAAACAAAAGCAAGCCTGGAGAAGGTGGCCTTTCTAAACCCTACACCCTAAGCCTAAAAAAGAAAAGCAAGCCTGGAGAAGGTGGCGTCTCTAAACCCTAAACCCTAAACCCTAAAAGCGCAAGCAGGGTGGCGTCTCTGAACCCTAAACCCTAAAAACCTGAAGAAGGTTGCGTCCCTGGATCCATCTTCCGAGATGAGCCTGGAGCTGACGCTGCTCCGATCCGTTCGCTTCCTGCGGATTTTCCGGCTGCTAAAGTCAACAGCCATGGTGGAGGAGGGGGTTGGGGGTGTAGGGCAGTTTAGTGGGTTTAGGGGTTTGGGGTTTAGGGGTTTAGGGGTTTGGGGCTTAGGGCCTAGGGGTTTAGGGGTCTGGGGTTTTAGGGGTTTGGGGTTTAGGGGTTCAGGGGTCTAAGGTTTTAGGGGTTTTAGGGGTTTAGGGGTTTAGGGTTTTAGGGGTTTAGGGGTTTAGGGTTCCACAGCCATGGTGGAGGAGGGGTTTTGCGGTTTTCATAGGGTTCGGGCTCAGGGATCAGGGTCGTATACTTCCAGTGTTCTCAATGGGCTTTAAGACATGGCGTTTTCGGTTGAAGGGTTTAGGTTTAGGACCCTAAGCCCTACACCCTAAACCCTAAACCCTAAACCCTAAGGGCAAGGGTGTTTACGGGGTTTAGGGCTCGAAGGGTTGAGGCTTCATGGCATAAAGCTGCTCAGGACTCAAGGGAATCGTGTTTTCGAGGTCTGGGTCTGGGTGCCGGGTTTTCTGGGGCCTAAACACTTGTTTTAAAACCCTGTCAAGCAGGTGGTGGAACAAGGTCTTCGGTCATCGGGTTGCAGGGTTTAGGGTTTAGGGCGTAGGGTCACAAAGCCCGGAGCTTCTTCTCTTTCGGGGGGCCTTGGGGAGGGCTTGTTCCTAAACCCTACACCTTAAACCCTCAACCCTAAACCCTAAACCCTACACCCTACACCCTAAACCCTAAACCCTTGTTGTTCCTTCCTTCAGTGCCCATCTTGGAGGATCGGAACGGCCGGAAGCGCAGATCTCTGAGCCTCTCGGTGATGCGGATCCTGGTGTCCGCCGTGGGCACCCTCTCCATTTCTGCGGGTCTGCTACTGGGCTTGGGAGTACCATGCTTTAATACTTTTTTTGTGGACCTGTTCCTTAAAGGAACCACTATGAAGCAAAAGTCTATACTTTTTTCTCTCCCTGGTTACTTCAAAGCCCAGGCTATGGAGGGTGGAGGGCAAAAATGGCATCAACCCCTCCATCAACTCCTTCGGAGATGCCTGCTTCTACATGCTCAACGTCTTCACATCCCAGGGGGCACCCTTTCCTGCTCCTGGGCCTTGGAGTTGGTAACATTTATAGCCCTTATAGAATCTTAAATAAAAGGTTAGTGGTTTAGGGTTTAGGGTTTAGGGTTTAGGTTAAGCTCAGTTCCCCTAAAAATACTGGACAAGTCAGGTTATGAGCACTCAAGGTAGGTTTGTAACTGCGGCTGCCATCCTCATCGGAGTGCTCTCGCTTCCAGTGCAAGTCTCGGAGCTCCTCTCACTCTTGCGCAGCATGAAGCAGCTCAGCCAGTCTTGGGATTCCTTTTTGCTTCTTGGGGTTTGAGTTGGGTCGCCTTGTGTTGCGGAAGGGAGCCCATGAAAAAAGAGGCGTTTTTCCCCTTAATAACTTCCGTCCTAAGAGGGACAAAGGCAAGAGGAGGAGCGTGAGCGAGTTAACAGCATCGACAGCTGCATCGTTCTGGCCAGCGGCTCCTCGGCAGCTGCTGTGGCAGCTGTGGCGGTGGAAGAAGCCCCCTCCGAGAAGTTGGATCCTGAGATCACGGTGCCCACGCCCACGGCTGACAGCCTCGGCTCCACCTACGGCTTCCTCAGCATCTCCGTGGAAGACTTCTGCCGGGAGGCTGGTGTAGAGAGCACCGCCCTGAGCGTCCCGATCCTGGACTCAGACGTCGGGGATTTTTTCACCGTCTTGGAGGACGTCTCCACGGCTGAACACGTCGTGCCGGAGCCCCGATCCCGAGTGAAGCTCTTAGCAGCCTTGGTGCGCCGGAAGAGGCTCTACAAAGCCGACATGCGCACGCACAGCCCGAGCGGCTTAGCAGGGTAAACGGCTCTCCGAAGGAGCGTCTCTCGTTCCCGGCGCTGGAGCAACGGCATCTGATGAAGCATCCTGCAAAATCGGCATGAAGAGGGTAAACCGGCGTAAAAAGCGCTTCCTGACGAGGCGGTGATGGTTATTCTGCATGCCTTTCCCTGCTACCAGCACCCAGGCCGATGGAAGTGGCAGCCCTGTAATGGCTATTGTGTTTGGATCTCAACCTCATGCCGCTATCGATGTCTGGAGCTAGGGGGTTCCGTCATGGAAGCTTGAAGCTCATGAAGATTTGGGCCTATGATTGCGGACGTAGGGTTAAGGTCAATCAATCAGTTCAGGGCTACATCATGAGACTTCACTGCCGGTCCTTCTACGCAGCCCCCACGGACAGATTGGCGTTGCCGGTATATCGCCCAGTGCAACCAAGCAGTGGACTGAATATCTTCTGGACCCAAAGACTTTGTAGGGTTTAAGGGTTTAGGTTTAGGGTTTAGTCTGGAGCCCTCGAACAGCCATGAAGCTCCTCGAGAGCTCGAGAGCCTTACGAAGCCCTTGAACTCCCAAACTTTAAACCCTAAACCCTAAACCCCCACACCCTAAACCCTAAAGTCCCGAACGCTAAACTCTAAGATCTCAAACCTCTTATTTTTTTTGCAAAGTCCCAAAGCCTAGACCCTAAACTCCCAGACCTGTTTTTTTAAGCAAACTCCCAAACCCTAGACCCTAAACTCCCAGACCTGTGTTTTTAACAAACTCCCAAACCCTAAACCCTAAAGCAAGAGAAGATGCTCCCTTCCAGGCAGCTCCCCTCGGTGCGGGCTTCGAATTTCAGCCGGGCGCCGCGTTAAATCTTTTCGGCGGGGGCCCCGACGTGAAGTCTTCGAAAAACTGTTGAGGGTGTATGGCTTAGGGGTTTAGGGTGAACATCGGGATCTGTGGGCTCCTATGGGGTTTCGGAAGAGTTTGATAAGGGCTCTACAAGGCTGGCGGGATTTGATGAAGTGGGGTTTAGCATCGAAACTATTCGGGGAATTATGGGTGCCTGAGCAATGAAGTGCAGTGGTTTCTTGACCAAATTGGATCAGAAGAAAAGCCCTCTTTACAGCTCCGTTGCTCTTTGGTCCTTTGCCCTTGTTGTGGTGGGACTCCGGGGTGTCAATGCCGAGGCCGGAACCCTGAAATCCACGACTCCTAAACAGAAATGCTAGCCCCAGAATGCTCGAATTTGGCAACCAGATCCTAAACCCTAAACCCCAAACCCCAAACCCCAAACCCTAAACCCTGAAGTACGAAGACCTGACTCACAACACGTTCATACGGCCCCCGTATTGGCGTCACATGTAAACCCCCAAGGACCAGGATCCTCCTAGACCTCTAACATAGGGGCCTAAATAAATACCAATATATATATATATATATATATTGGAGGTTTAGGGTTTAGGGTATAGGGTTCCTTATGATAAGTAAATGGGCCCACAAAGCCCTATTCAAAACGCTATTCTAATTATTATAAGGCCCCTATAACCCTATATTACACACTCATCGAAGCGTATGGTTCCTGCAAAGCGCGGACAGGACCCCCACAGAATAGTTACCGCACCCATGCAGAGCCCTTTCAAAAAAGTAGACGAACGGCCCAAACCCTCGCACTGAAGCGCGGGCTCCGAAGTTAAGTGCTTGGCGGCCCTCTGAATTGAAGATTATTCTTCCGACTCCCCTAGACCCTAAACTCTAAACCCTAAACTCTATACCCTAAACCCTAAGCCCTAACCGAGCCCCAAGATGAAAAGGCACCATGTACCTCAATGCCATACACATGGATCTCGACGCCCTGCAAGCGAGGCTTCCCCCGTTGCTTCTTGGGGTCCCCAGATATGGGCTGTCCATGGGTTAGTTCTGCATAGGGTTATAAGTAGGATAACTATAGTCTTATAGTTCAAAGCCATATGGGTAGTTGTCTAAATTAGGGTCCCTTTTTTAGGTCCTTTTTATAAGGGTGCCGTACTATCTTGGGACCCAAGATGGCACCCTAATTTAGAGAAGTACCCATATCAAAGGACTTGTAACTCCGCTTGTAGCTGCCCATGAGCCTCCAAGAAGCTTCTCGTATGGGATGTCAGCCCTAATTTAGGGGCCTTCATAGTCAGAATAGGGTTTTGCGGCCCATTATAGACTAATCATAATAAGGAACTCCCTAACATATTATTGGTCATTATAGACTAATCATAGCAAGGAACCCCCTAAAATATTATAGGTAATTATTGAGGCCCCTACATTACCCAGAAGCCTACGGCAAGGACTCCTTCGAGGTTTTGGAGTTCGGAGTTGAGGTTGACAAGACTCAGCGAGACAAATTGATGCCCGAAGGCTTAGGGTTTAGGGTTGGGGGCTTAGGGTTTAGGGTTGAGGGTTTAAGGTTTAGGGTTTAGGGTTTAAGGTTTAGGGTTTAGGGTTCTGGTGCCCTAGGAGTTCACGGTGTGGAGGCGCAGCACGTCAGGTTTCCGGTTCGGGGTGTGTCTCAAGGACAGCTTCCAGACATCCTTCTACTATTCCCCAAGCTTAAGACCCAAAAACACCCTTTTAAGTCCTTCAAAAGGCCCTGCAGAACCCCTTGTAAAGCCTCACACAGCCCTCGCCCCCAAGGAATCACGTGTAATGTAGGGGCCTTTATATTCTGGGGGTTCCGTACTGTGATTATAGTACAATGGGCCCCCCAAGCCCTATTCTAACCATTAAGGCCCCTGCATTAAAGCTCATATAAAATCCGAAGAAACCAGCCCTTAGGACCGTAGGAGTCTCTAGAGATCTTGAGCCCTTCGTACTTCGCGAGGCCAACGAATCATGGGCGGTTGAGTGCTTAGGGCACGTGCGGGTATACCATCCTGTGTGGTTTAGGGTTTAGGGTTTAGGGTTTAGGATGAGGGTTCTTGGGGTTCTTCGGAGAGCTGTTGAAGGGTACTTGGTTCAGTTTTTGTCGGGGTTCTGTCTAGTTCTGTCTGTTCTTCTTTTGAAAGGGATCCACTCTACTGGTTGAAGTTTAAACCCTAAACCCTACAGAAGTTTACATTGCTTTTCTTGCTCAGCTTGAGCGCGAGGCAGGAGAGGCGTTTCGAGCAAGCCGGACATGACGACTGCAATCCCATCCAGCACGCCGCCCGGGAGAGGGTGGCGAGGGAGAGAGGGTCCAGTGGTCCACGCGGTTTTGGGGTTTAGGGTTTCGGATGCTTTAGGGTTTAGGTTAAGGGCTTAGAGTAGGAGGTTCAGGGTTTGGAGCTTTCGAAGCTTGTTTTCAGTGCTTCGCAGGTCTCAGGGCTTCGAGGAGATCGGCGATTCAGCCGTCCTCCAATCGAAGCAAACTGATGAAGGGCCCCTGAAGAAGATCCCTGAACCTTCAACCCAAGCAAAAAACCTGGGTTCAGGGTTTAGAGTTTAGGGTTCGAGGTCGAGGGTTTAGGGTTGTCACAGGATTTTGCTTGCAGGGTTTTGGGTTCGAGTTTAGGACATCGTGTTCTATGTAAGCCCTGAACCCTAAACCCCAAACCCTGAACCCTAAACCCCAAAGCCCAATCCCCTTCAGCACTCAGGCCTCAAGCCCAGACTCTGTGCCATGCCCGTTTCTCGGAGTTCGGGTGCCTCCAAGCACCAGATCAATGCGTGCGCCCAAAGCACCGACACCCAACCCGCAAACCCCAAGGCCCTAAACCTTAAAACCCTAAAGCCCAAAACCCAAAACCCTAAAGCCTTAACCCCTAAACCCTAAAGCCTTAACCCCTAAACCCTAAAGCCCTAACCCCTAAACCCTAAAGCCTTAACCCCGAAACCCTAAAGCCTTAACCCCTAAACCCTAAAGCCTTAACCCCTAAACCCTAAAGCCCTAACCCCAAAACCCTAAAGCCTTAACCCCTAAACCCTAAAGCCTTAACCCCTAAACCCTAAAGCCCTAACCCCTAAACCCTAAAGCCTTAACCCCGAAACCCTAAAGCCCTAACGCCTAAACCATAAAGCCCTAACCCCTAAACCCTAAAGCCCTAACCCCGAAACCCTAAAGCCCTAAAGCCCTAAACCCCAAAGCCCTAAAGCCCTAAACCCTAAAGCCTTAACCCCTCAACCCTAAAGCCTTAAACCCTAAACCCTAAAGCCTTAACCCCTAAACCCTAAAGCCTTAACCCCGAAACCCTAAAGCCTTAAATCCTAAACCCTAAAGCCTTAACCCCGAAACCCCTAAACCCCACAGCCTTAATGCCTCAACCCTAAACCCAGAAGCTCAAAAGTTGCAGCCTAAAGCCTCAGAGCCCCAACCCAGGCTCAGCTTAAGCTTTTTGGGTTTAGGGTTTAGGG